AGGCGCAAACGTTCCAACGCGCGCGCGAACTGCGCGAGTGTGGCAAGAGGATCAAGGGGAGGCTGCTTGCAATGGCGAGACAGCGGGCCCACCAGCGAGCTCTCCGAGACTGGAAAGCGGAACTAGAGGAGAGCGGAACCGGCTACAGAAGAGTCACGGTATCCTTCCTGGCGGATTGGACAAATTGGATGGAACTCAGAATGAGAATGCTTCGGTGAGTCTCTGATGAGAATGGCAGCGGAGAGGACCGCCGAATGCCACCACTGCGGCGCGTATCGGGACACAGTCCAGCATACGCTCAAGGAATGCGCAGCCTTCGAGGAACAGAGACACGTGCTCAGGACCAGCATCGGAGAAGACCTGTCGCCGGCAGCTATGGTCAAGTCGCTGCTGGCAGTCGACAGGAAGCGGATGGCGGTGACCCACTACTGCGAGGAGGTGATGACTGCCACGGAAAACGCAGAGAGGGCGCGGGAGCTATGCAACCCGACGCGAATGGGAAGACGGCGAGCGAGGGAACGATCCGGTCGCTCATCAGGGTTACGACGCGCCCCAGCTGAGAACGGCGACCTAACTATATCAAGGAGAGGGTAACCTCCCAATAAGGCCGCCGCTATCACAACAACAACGGGAAGGAGGAGATGGGGGAGAAGCCCCCCAACCTCTACAGCTTTCTCCTCGTTCATAATTATCGGGATCTTTTAGGAAATTCTTTTCGGAAATTTTAGGAAGTTATAAGAATTCTCTCAATTGTTATTACCATTTTTGTCACAGAACAAAGTTCTTCGTTTAATTTCAACATCGCGTGTTACTTCAGCTAGAAATGACGTTTTCCCGCTGCCCATTTTTGCAAATGTTAATTGTACAGACTGTATTTTACGCGAACGTTACGCTTTCAACAGCTTCCGTGAGACTGACGAACGTAAATATTCGATGTGTTCAATCTTGGTCTGCCATTAGGCTGCACAATATTTACATTTACGTTTTCAAAGAAATTTCGCGCTTAAGGGTATTGATATAATAATCTACACATTCTCTCTACTTTCCGTTACATAATATAAGCTATATCAGTATTAAAGAGACGAACAATTTAAATTAATCTAACGAAAACTAATTGTTAATACTGAATTGATAAATTGATTAATAAAATTAATTTAATGAAGAATCACGTTATTTAATATTATAAAAATGGATTCTTATTTTTAAAACAAAATATACGCAAACTAAATTGGCAAACAAAAACATAAATTGTTTTTCAAACTACTTTCATAACGAACTTATTTTCCTTAATTTGGATTTGTATCACTCATCAATTGAGGACCATTAATTTGTAATGTCTTTGTTCGAAATTTCATGCATGTGAAACAATTTATTTTCAGAAATTCAAATGATTACGTAAATAAAAACTTTCTCTATTCTCGTGTTTTAAAGCCGTCCTAAGTTTTCATTTCAAAGTCTCCAATTAAAAATTCTACGCTTCAAACGTCTATTTTTCAGTTCCAGTGTCAAAAAAGAGAATATAAGAAGTACACAATATAGAAATAGACAATATAGAAAATACATAATATAAGAAAATACAGAGTGTGCTATCCCTTCATCTTCGAATGTATGTAGTGAACTATATATGAAATCTGATTTTATTTAATGTACCGCCTGTTTTCACAAAAATAACGCAAAGAGTTAGCTGTACTAACCATCCTTCTTGGATCCACTAAAATTCTAAGTTATTTACGAGCTTCAAATAAAATAAGAAACTATTGAAAAATAAAAAAAATTTAGTTCATCCAGAAGAAATTACTATAAGTTATTTTCACGGATTTAAAAATAACGGAAGCTGCTGTTCTTTGCTCTCAGCCCGCGTAAGATACGCACTTCCAGATCCAAATCGATATCTATCAAAATCTCCTGCGGATGTTCTTTGTCAACGAGAAAAAGAAAATAAAGCGAGATCGAAAATTTTGATGCGAAAAAATATTTTTATTCGAGAACGGGAGAGTATCTTGATACAACGACGTACAAATTTGGTGAAAGTATTTGCGTCAAACGCCAGGTAAAAGCAGCTCTTCTCAGGATACTAACGCGTGATTTATACGTTACAAATACGTTACGCCAATATTTTACAACCTGTTTCGGTTAGTAGTTAAATGCAACACCGTGCAGTATCGCGCGCATATACTTCGCCGGAAGTAGTGTTAAATATTGGCGGAGATATTTCTCGATGGACGGCGATATTTCGTGTACTAGAAGTGTACTAGAAGTTCGTGTACTGGGAAGCGGCATTGTAGGCGCACCGCCTCTTTTCCTGCATTTTCTTTGCTCCAGGGCAAAGTTTCTCCTTGCGAACTCGTCCATTGGCAAAAATCAGAGTAGAAAGACGAACGAGCAGGACACAAACTTGATATTGAAGAGCATCGGAACTACTCGATTCGGTGGCGGGCGTATTACTCGATCGATCGAGAATTATTTCTTAAAGCGAAAGTAAATTACGCTCTATCGCGTTTTCATACCAGATTTCTCGAAATAAAATGACCAATGGGATTACGGGATTACCGTTGTCGGTAGTCGAGCGTTATTGAAATGATGAAACGTAATCGATAGAAGATGAAATTCTTTGTCTCGTCTCTCGGACAACATTTGCACTCAATGAGAATAAATTGTTCATACGACTGTTATTTTTTTGTTAGAGCATGATATACTATTTTCGCGTGGAATATATAATAAATTGCTTCATTGCTTGAGGATCTGCGCTTCGTCGTCAATCATGCGTTTAATTCCTTAATTTATCGGGCAAAGGATTAAATCAGATGTGATTCGTGTAATTATTAGACTACTTTTAAAAGAATGTAAAGAAAAATGGAAATACAATTGAAATGATCGAATCTGAATAGAAAATTGTTTCCTGTACCAATATCATAAAGAGCTATACTTTAAATGTTTTTATACTTTTTAATGCAATAAAAAGTAAATATCACGAGAAGCAGGGTACTTTGAATTTTTCAAACTTTAAATTAATTTCGTATACTTCAGTTTCTCATGAACGTGTAAATATCCGCGATGTAGTAATTATAATCTACTATCAACAGTTACCATTGCGAAGTCATTTATACACTGCTAGAACTCATGTACATGCATTGTACGTGAATTGATTAATGTCTCTGAAAATGGGTCTGAGAAATAATGTACAAAAACATTTTCCTTTTCAACAAGATGTATTTTGATTAAATGATAAATTATGAATGGACGAATATATTGAATTGTAATAATTATATGATCAGAACCGTATATTATAACCTGATTAAATTAATTTGCAAAGGTAAGGACTATATAATTTTATGTGAAAATAATTGTTCTTTGACATTAATCAAGTATTAAAATTCACAGATTCACCAAAAGTGTGTAATAACATATTGCGATCTGGTTTAGTTGGTTGTCAAGGACCAATACACAATTTCATGTAAAAATAATTTTTCTTACTCGTAAAATTGAATTAAAAAGAATTTATCAGAAATGCAATTCTAATGGAATATTATAATTTAATTGATATTCAAAGATATAAATTAATCCTTTTTAGTCATGAAGTAACATCAAAATTTAAGAAATCACTAAAATAATATATAACTGCATATTACGACTCATTTAATTGATTCCCAAGTATTAACATATAATTTCATACTAAAACAATAAAATTCGTTAACATTCGGAAAAACATCCTTATCATGTTACTTTCTTATAATTTCCATGCATTATTTTCATTTCAGTACCTAGTGCTGTACAGATAATGTTATAATCGGTAATAAAATAATTTGTTACTTCTTAGTTAACATGTTACAATATATTGAACAAGTATAAACAAAGTTTAAAAGTAATCATATTCTTAATCTTATTTCAATATCAAAAGTAGATATTTCATTGAAGTAAAATTAAGATCAAAATATCATTCAAAATATATAATAAAATTACGATCTGATTTAATTAGTTTTGAAAAACCATTGCAGAATGTTAAAGCAACAGCGTTATAATAAAGGAACGACCAAAAATATTTTTATCATTATTTTCATTTCAATCTCCTTCACTAGAATATTACTCCTATTCGGGAGTAAAATTATATTGGTAACAGAAAACACCAAAGAAGCTGTTGAAATAAATACACGAAAACAAAGTTATAGAGTTTTGATTTAAAATGTCATTAAGATAATTTTATTATTTAGTTAAGTTGAGAAAATTAAAAAAAATCATATCTTTTTGAGGAATGGAGATTTAGGAGATTTAGGAATTTTAGTGTAAATGATGCCCAAGTGAAAAGAGTAATCAAAGAAAAACCGCTAGAGGATGATATTCTAGTATACTGGATAAATACATGAAAAATATACGTTTCCAGATAAACACATTCCTATTCCTCAATATAAAAATTGAGGCTTATCTAAATCATTTCAAGCGCCGAAAATATGATAAAATAGTCGTTACGTCGAGTTGCATTTGCATAAAAAAGAATACCTCTCTACCACTTTGCACAAAAGGAATATTACGTACGCTTTTTTTTAGAACAGCTCGGAGCTCCGATTCGATTCGCTCGATAAAGTACACGCGTTGCACGGTAAATATTAGAATGTTAAAATTAACCACTGGATGGGAGTCTGTTATAGTTGCCTAAGTCCGTTATAAACTAAACACAGAGAGGGAAGAGAGCGGGAGAGAGAAATGAAAAGACAGCAGAAGGAAACGAAGCAGAGCAGTAGCCGTGGCTAATTAGTTAACAAATCGATTCCAAATCCAGACCGCGGTAACTCGCGCATTATTTTGAATTATTCCATTAGTTTAAAATTGCATTACAATTTCCCAGCCAGCCCGGCCGTGCTACGTACGTATTACGAACTAACCAGAAGTTCGCTGCACTCGTGAGTGAACTCTGTGTAACTGCGCCGGGGGAAATTAATGGAGAATAAATCATTTAATTAGAAATGAATTCATTCAACTTTTATTTAAAATACTTAATAATATATTTTCGTTACTTTAGATATAAATTATTTTTTATATAACTTTAAAAATAATTCAATAATTAAGAAGCTGACATTTAAATTCTCGAGATTCGAATCCGAAACGTTGTTACAATGTATAAGGATATAATTAAAAGAGTACACTATGTAATTTTACAAAATTTTTATTCAAATAATAGCACCATTCCTTGCACATTACAACTTATTGATTAACTATATTTTACGTAACGACATTAGTCTTACCAAATCTTGCGCCCGCTGAAGCAGAAATTATTAAATTCTCGTCAATATAGTATGCTGCATGGAATAAAAGCGTTTTACTTTTCTCCCGACATTCCCCCGAGGGATGTTACAGTGAGCTTCTAAAACGTAAGGCCGATGACGCTTTTAATGCAACACAGAGGAGGCGGTGCATATTCAAAAAAAAAAGTTGCGCATGCACGCTACGTGTACAATATGATTATTTGCTAGCGTGCGCTAATATAAGAAAGTATGCAAGGCTCGGCAGCGGTGTACATGTCAATATGAAGGAAAAAATAAAAGAGATTCAGGCTGGTTACCCTCAAGTATTCAAATAAACATATATAGCATCGGCTGTGTCGTTGCGCAGGTAGTCTTGGCGACGCAACCGAAGTCAAGAATAAAAAGAAAAAAAAGGGAAACTACACCGCGCTGGACAATACTATAGAAACAGCAACTAGTCTGGAAGTTGCTATAGACCAAAGTATAAATAGATATAAATAAAATTAAAGCAGGTTAAACATAAGTAAAAAAAAATTGAGAATAGTTAAAGAATAAAAATATAAAAATATAACCAGAGATAGAATGGAAATGAAATATAGTAGCTTATATTCGGCTAGGAGTGGAGCATTCATATCAAGGAAGAAAGCTATTACATTTTGTGTCTAGTAAATCATCAAGTGCTATTGAGAATGTAGTTTACAGAATTATATTAACAGTTAGTGGGGTCAGTATTAGATTATTGTATATATGGTAGAATCAAAAGAATTGATAAGCGGGAAAAATGCTCCAGTCCTCGCCGACGCCCAGGCACATGCGGCAAATCTGGTTATGGTTAAAGGCTCAAGGGTGGCTGCGCTCTCATGGCCTCGGAAACGTTTTAATTGGTCGCATCAGTCGCGGGCTGATTTTCACGTACGGACACGTCCGTTTGCTTAGGAGACGCCGCATCCGGAGCGGCTGATTTCAATACATGGTACTGCCAAGTGCCCGAAACATGCTCGACGTACACATCTCGAGACCACGCTATGGTCTCCGAGATCATGAGCTGTCGCTTCAAGGCTTCATATCTTGGTGATATTTCATAGCAATGCGTCGTTGTGTGGATTCTAGGCGCCCAGGGCGCCTAAGACGAAGCTGTCGACGTAAACGTCGATGTATCCGCGCTTCCTCAAACACTCCACAAGTTGTTGATATATACGAGTCTCTTCTATTCCTGCACTTTCGAGCGAATCGAACTTATTCTCGAATGACACGGTAACATCGATCACGGCGACGGTCCTGGACGGCTCATGCGTCACAACTTGCGTATCAGAACGCAAATCCCGCAGTCCTTTGCCGAAGCTCGGAACGCATTGATTAATTCGCGTTTCTCCAGGGAGGCCGCGGCAAACCTCTCGGCAATCACGTTGTGGCGCAACTGCCGAGCAGCCGCGTAGTGGCTGCAGTGACAGAGCACATGGGGCAACATCTCCAACTGTGACCCACACCGCCGGCATCTCCGATCACTCCATTTAAGGGGAGCACGTCGAAGTGGGCGCGATACACCAAGCGCCAGTCAGCGAAACGCAGGCACTGACCTGACCGCATGAAGCATTTGCTCTCCCCATGATGGGAAGTCGAGTCAAAAACTTTGCCCAGGTCCGGCTTCGCGATAAGCGCGGATATATAGTGCTCCGGTCCTCAAACGGCCAACAAAGTGCTGCTTGGCGGATGGAGGTATGATCACTCTCCGATCGCCGCCTACTGGGCACTCCAGCGAATGCTCGCATCGTACAGAGTCCCAAAGCCAACGGAACCCAAACCGCCTTGCGGACCTCAAGGCAGTCAATCTACCTCGTGACTAAAATAACGCATGATTAGAATATGGCAACGCCAATTCCTCTTCGAGCGAGCACGAAAAGTTTTGAACGCGTTGGCCATGGCGGTAACATCCGCAAAGTCCGCCAAACGGCGGGATGAATACCACCTCTACGTTGGGAGAGGTTTAACCATCTCTTCCCCGTCCGCTTTAGGTTCCGGTCAGCTTCGGCTAATATAATAATAATAATTCTCAACGGCTCCATCCCTCAGCAAGAAGTCAAGGCGCGGCAACAGAAACGTCGCCACGGTCTTAATCTTCTGCCAGGAGGCGAGCAATGACGCGCTGGCTGCCTCAAAGTCGGCGATCAGGAATCCGATGGCGCGATATGGACTCTGATCGATGCGGACCCCGTGGGGACTCCCAGGTGGACCTAGGAGCTCCCCTACTCAAATACGGGCAGATGTTCACCCGCAAGTTAGAAGGCCGTAGGGAACGACTCTCCCCTGGCCCAGATGTGTAACGTCGCACACTTACGGTAGTTGAATGACAGTCCTAAATACCTTGCGACACTCTCAACGGTCGAGATAATTTGCTACATAGTGCACGGTTTCGCGGCGACCAACGCGCCAAACATCTCAAACCCAGCTTCCGACTTCATGGTCTCTCGTACCAGTGGGATGATCACCAGATCGAAGAGTATCGGGCTCAAGGGACAACACTATCGCAACCGCAATAGCATCGGGACGGGATCTGTGTACCCGTCGCAGGTTCTCACGCGGAGCGATTGTACTGGACACAAACTTTCAACAAACTTTTCGGGCACGGCGGCGTCGACGAGGGTGCGTTCGTTGACTCCGTGGAAGACCGAGC